TAACCCAAACCAAGGCATTTTCAATTCCTCATATGCATATGAAAAGCTGGACAATGAATAAGGAAGACTGTTGAAGAATTGGTGCATTTGAACTGCAGTGTTGGAGAAGAATATTAAAAGTACCATGGACTTCCAGAAGAACAAACAAATCTGTGTTGGAAGAAGTACAGCCAGAATATTCCTTGGAAGCCAGGATGGCCAGACTTGATCTCTCATATTCTAGACATGTTATTAAGAGGACCTGTCTTGAGAGAAGGACATCATGTTTGGTAAAGTGGAGGGACAGCGAAAAAGAGGAAGACCCCAAGAAGATGGATTGACACAGTGGCAGCAGCAATGGGCTCAATTCCAACAATAAGGGTGAGGAGGGAGAAGGTCTGAGCAGTGTTTCATTCTGTTGTGCATTGGGTCAGAACTGACTCGAGGGCACCTAACAACAAAAACAACCACCCCAGGACATGCTGATGCCTAGCAAAAGGAGCACACACAGATTTTGGGATATGTCACTTATTACTGCGTGATTGCTACAGGGTCTTAGTTTATCACCTTGAGAAATGGGAATAATATTTTAATGTCATGTGCTATACACTGGAGGGAGTCTTGGTGTGGTGCTGTGGGTTAATGTGCTGGACTGAAAAGTCGGTTTGAACCACAAGGTTGGTGGTTCAAGTTCACCAGCTGCTCCTCAGAAACCCTCTACAGGGTCACTATGAGTCGGAACCAACTTGACAGCACTTAACAACATACACTGGAGGAAGAGGTCTACAAGATCAAATTACCCCCAAACAGATGTTGTAGGCACTGTGTTCTCAGGAATCTATGCAAATAACATACTTGATTTTGCCAAGATCAAAACAGTCACAAGAATATATTTTGTTTTGCCAGGAAAAGAAAATAGCTACAAAAATAATTCATGCATGTTACACTTTTGTCTTCTATGCCCTATGTAACTATGAATTAATTTCCAGAAGGACACAATGAGAAACTGCAATGGCAAAACCAAAATGACAAGTCTCCTTTTTCCAAAAAAGAGAATGGCTACCTCTCTATATAAAGATTCTCTCCAAAATGCTTTTGGATCCATACCAAACTTATAGGTGCACATTGGGTTGGAAGAAATTTCAAGGTCAGGAAGTCTGACACTCTCTATTTGATGTTCAAGTCCCCTCTAAATGTTTCTGAGCTTAAATATCCTCAAAACAAGAAACTGGATACCTCTCAAAGTAGCCTGTTTCAGTTTTGGGCAGCTGTGATCTTGTCAATGGTCTTCTTTTACAAATGCAAAATAGTCCTGCAAAGCTTTGATTCTTCTATTACTCCTTGTGACTGTAAAGACCAGATCTAGCCTCTTTCACACAATAGCTTTCTTCAAAGATGTGGTCTTGCATCTCAGCTTCTCCAGAATGCTCAGTCATCCTGCATTTATACAAACAATCTGTCCACTAAACTTATGGTGTTTTTGTTGTTGTTTAAAGACAGATTTACTTGATCCACAATTACCCCAAGATGATTACTTTTCCAAATAATCCAATCTGCTTCCCACCCCCCCAACCTGTATTATCAGCAACACTGAAAGCTGATTATAATCAACTTTCTTTCATAGAAAAAAATAAATAAATAGACTTTAAGAGAATCCACTTTGCTAAAAGAATCACAAATAAGCATCCGATGTTCCCACTCAACAGAAAAACAAGGAAGAACTGTGAATGCTCAATTCTCAACCACTGCCGATTTACCACAGGAACTTACGTGATCCGGTTTCAAAGCACAGAACCATTGAAATCATCTCTCTAGTAGCGTAGTGATTACAAGTCGAGCTGCTAGCCTCAAGGTTAGGAGTCCGAAACCACCAGCTGTTCCATGGGAGAAAGATGAGACTTTCCGCTCCCATAAAGATTTACAGCCTCAGAAACCCTCTACAGGGTCACTATGAGTCGGAACCGACTTCACAGCACACTACCACAGCCACCCCCACATGTTTTAGGATGTGGAAACTTAGACCCACAGATATCATCTCTTTTCTTGCCATCCACACATATTTATTAGTGCCCTAATAGGTGACCTGCACTAACCGACTTGATGGCATTTAACAACGACAAGGTGACCTGTACTCGATTGGGCATTGGGTATACCAAGGTGCTGAGCCCTAGCCCTCACAGGTCTGTGAACACAGAATCACAAGGCAATTAATTAAACGGATTTCAAAGAGGTGAAAGCATATTGTGTAGGTAGCTCAATGAAGGAGTCTCTAGCTTTGTACAAAGGACTTAGAAGACAAAAGAGATCAAATGAATATTTGTGTCTCTCCTTTCTCTGTGTCTTTGCCCAAATTGCCCCTCCAACTAGAACATCTATCCTTTCTCTTTGATTTGTAAATCATCCTTTACAACTCAGCTCAGAGAATACCCCTGACACATTCTCCCCTGGCTTCCTCTTTATGCTTACTCAGTGCCTAGCACAAATCAGAATCATTGTACATAACAGCACTGTTGTAACTAGTTGCTGTCAGTCAATTCCAACTCATGGTGCCCCAGTATGTGCTGAGGAGAACTGCTCTATACAGTTTCTAAGGCTGTGACCTTTTGGAAACAGCTTACCAGGTCTGTCTGCCAGAGCACTGCTGGGTGGGTGCAAACCACCAAACTTTCAGTTTGTAGTTTAGTCTTCATCATTTGTTCCAACCCAGAAACTTCATACTTAGCATACTGTGTCTTTATGCATTAGACTTTACGTTTCTGAAGATAGAGAACTGAGTAATAGTTATTTTTATATCTCTTTGCATTCATTTGATATCTCTAATCTAGTTAAATACTTTATTTTGCTTGGAACCACAATCAACCCTCATGGAAGCAGCAGTCAAGTAATTTGCATTAAACAAATCTGCTGAGAAAGACCTCTTGAAAGCTTTAAAGAGCAAAGATGCCACTTTGAGGACTAAAGTGTACCCGGCCCAAGCCATGGTATTTTCACTTGCCTCATATTCATGTGAAAGTTAGACAATTAATATGGAAGACCACAGCAGAATCCATGCATTTGAATTGTGGTGTTGGTGAAGAATATTGAAAGTACCATGAACTTCAGAAAAAACAAACAAATCTGTCTTGGAAGAAATATAGCCAGAATGTTCCTTAAAATTGAGGATGGCAAGACTTCACCTCTCATACTTTGTTTGGGCATGTTGTCAAGAAGGACCAGTAATTTGAGATGGACATCCTGGTAGATAAAGTGGAGGGTCAGAAAAACAGAAGAAGATCCCCAATGAGATGGATTGGCACTGTAGTAGGAGCAATTGTGAGGATGGTGCAGACCTGGGTAGTATATGGTCTGTTGTACACAGAGTTGCTATAAATTGTAACCATCTTGATGTTACCAAACAACAAAAATTTAGTTGCATTGGCTGTGTACTGTTGTTGTTGGTAAGTACCATTGAGTAGTTCCAACTCATAGCACCCTCTATAGGTCTTCCGAGGTGCAGCTAGTGGGTTTGAACTGCCAACTTTGTGGTTTGCAGTGCAGTGCTGATCTTACAGAATCACACCAGACTATATACTAGGTTTGATTAATGGATGAATAAAAAATATCAGCAGAGTCTTAAGGATTAACAGGAGTCTGTCACATAGGGAAGACGAATCCCAAGCTGAGAAAACACAGAAACGCAGTGCTTTGAAAAGTGGGGTATGCTTTAAGAACTGTGTAGTTCAACACAACCAGAGTATGAACTTCATGGCAGGAGTGAGCGAAGGAGGAAGGCACCTCAGGAATTAAGTTTAGGCCAGATGTGAAAAGTCACATAAAACATGCTGAAATGTACAGACTTTATCCAGTAGTAATGGTATAGGCAAAAAATCTTTACTGAAGTGACAGGATAGGATTAGTTTTTTGAGGAAGGTCCCTTGAGTGGACAAAAGTAGGAAGAACTGCAGTGAGTTCAGAGTCCAGCCAGGACATAGGATGGTTTGTAATCAGTCAAGTATGGATTCAGTTTGAGAACTTAGGTGGGATCCACAGCATTTAATGATTAACATGAGGGATGGCAGAGGGAAAAGAAACATCAAAGATAATAGCTGAGTTTTAAAGTTGGGACCCTAGAAAGACATAGAAATATTAATAGAGACAGTCACTAAGAAAAGAAGAGCAGATTACAGTGTAGTGTTGGTGGGAGGGAAGACTGTAAGCTTATTTTTGGAAAGACTCTTATGATACCATGAGAAGACTTCAACAAGTTCGTAGAAAAATTCCATTATCATTTCATTACATTTTTCCACAAACTTTTTGAAGACTCTGGTACTTCCAGATTACTCATCTAAGCCCAAAGCTACCTTGTTACTGACTTAACCAATACAAATGACTGAAGTGTAAGCAAATTAATCATGGGAATGTAAAGAGTACAAGTTAGTGTTGTCGAGTTGGTTCCAACTAAGTATTTTCATCCTCACATAGACAAAGTAATTCTCATGATCTGAGGGTGAAAGAAACAACTTCAGATGAAATATCTAATTCTTAAATTAATAATCATTTTCTCAACCAGTGGAAGTTGGCAGTTGTATACAAATGATTCTCTAGGCAATCAGATTCCAAGTCTTTTCTGGAACCAACTAAGTCATTTTCATACATTTAAAAAATGGCTATTAAATTCCAGCTTGCTAATGGTTTCCCACCATACAATAGGTCCCAGTCACCAGGAGAATTCTGTTTGCATTCATTGTTATACTCATCTTTTCAAAATATTGGAGGTCTAGATATTGCTAGAAACCACCGCCTCCCAACACACACATATGAAAAAAATATGTTCTGCACTAATATTAATCCATCTTTTAATCTAGAATCATCCCTTCTCTCTCCCATTTGGTAGTATTTGAAGACCAAATAATGAACAGAACCTCTATAGAACCAATCGTTTCACTGAAGTAAATAGTTAAAGACCTCTCCTGGTCCCAATGATCATGCTATGAGCACAGGAATGTATCTTTTTAGAGAAGAAATGGAAACTGTTAGCTCACCCTCTTCCTCAAGTTGTAGGTGAGAATGAGGTTCCGAGAGAAGGAGTGGGAGAAGGCTGTGTAGAATTCCAGCACTTTCTGCAGAGCATCACGTTTGATCACGTGCAGGTCACAGTAGGTCAAGGCTCTGACGTTGGCACAGGACTGGGCAAGGGTGGATTCCTTCCAGAACACATCTCCAAACACATCTCCTTTCCCTAAGGAGAGAAAGTTGTCATAAGGAAAGTGCCACCCAGTCTGGCTTCCCCTTGCTCCTCCACAATTGCCATCCATTATCATGTGGTGCTGTGGGTTAATTCACTCCACTGCAAAGTCGGTTTGAACTGCAAGATCCGCAGTTCAAGCTCACCAGTCGCTTCCTGGAAAACCTCTACAGTGTTGCTATGGGTTGGAACCAAGTCAACGGCACTCAACAACATCAATCATTCTGCAGGATGGCCTCAGAAGAAACAAATACTACCTTAATTCAAACCTTGGTGGTGGTGGTGGTTATTGATTCAAACTCATAGTGACCCTGTATAGGGTTTATGAGGCTGTAAATCTTTACAGGAACAGAATGCCTCATCTTTCTCTCTTGAAGCAGCTGGTAGTTTCGAAGTGCTGACCTTGTGGCTAGCAGCCCAAGGAAGTACTGGTGTGGTGCTTCGGGCTAATGCACTGGACTGCAAGGTCGGTTTGAACCCAAGGTCGGTGATTCAAGCTCACCAACTGCTTCTTGGAAACACTATACAGGGTTGCTATGAGTTGGAACTGACTCAACAGCACATATCAACAATAACAACACTACCAGAGCTCCTTAATTTGAACCTTAACAATATGTTATTTAAGGAGTCTTATAACACTACATAATATGTTTCAGAGTTTAATCAATGACCTTGAAATCATTAATGCTCCCTCTTCAGATGGCTATTTGTATTATATCTAAAACAGAGCCCCTCAATATTCTTCATCATTCCCCTTTTTCAATAACACTAGTCATAATCTGTAATTATGTATTTGTTTATTGTTTATCATCTGAAACAGATAGTTCACACATAATACAGTGTCTAGCACATAGTTGGAGCTCAATCAATATTTACAAACATATGAGAAGTAAGGAAGAAAGGTGGACTGAGGGTCTCCATGAGCAGGTCTAAGAGGTGAGCACTTAAGCTACTAGTGAGGAGGGTGCAGACACTTCACTGGGGAGGGGTATCCTCTGTCTGGGATGATGGAAGATGTCAGGTGTTGCGGACCGTGTAAGACTGGTCAGAGGTTCGAGGCCCTATAGGCCCAAGTGTAACAAATGAGGCCACTGCAGTTAATGGCAAATTGCTTTCATCTTAATATTCAGTTATATAAATTAAATTAATACATGGAGCCTTCGAAAATCCACAGATAAATGTGATATTTTCCTAAAGCCCAGACTAAAGGTTGCAAGGTTAAACCTTTCTCCAAAGGATTAACTAAAAATATCTTAGCTACTTCTCAGTTCTTTGTTCTATAGACAAAGAACCCATCCTCCCTAATCCCTTTTCCAGGTGCGGCCCATTCACCTGGGCGTCTCCTGCAGAACTCTCACCTTCCCCCAACTGAGTTCAGGGGCTATAGATATGTTAATTGGGCCTGAGACTCCAAGTTGCTGGCCTGGGATTCAAACCAGCGAAGTATGATGTAAAGTTACCTGAATATCTGGAAAAGTACTGATGTTAGCTGTACCTTGCCTAAGTCCCTCCCAGCTTGGTGTGAAACTCCTCCCCTAAATAAAACAGAGGCCCGGGCCTCCCCAGGTGTGCATTACTGGTTGGAAGGCAGGGAGTAACGATTGCAGTGCATTACTGGTTGGAAGGCATGCAGTAAAGATTGCAGGGCAGTGAGTTGCTGCCTGCAGAGGCCATGATGCCTGCAGTCCCAAGCCTGCCCACCAGTGATGTATCCACCCTGGCTTTGGGGTGCCTCATTGTCTCCCTTCTTCTGTTTGTCTGTGTATTCTTTCGCTATCCCTATCGCCGCTGGATCTCCCCTCCTCATGAACCAAACACTTGTGAACAACACAACTATGTCGAGGCAAGACCCCGACAGTTAGGCAAGTGTAGGTCCATCCCTTCCTAGACTCTGTCCACTGCCTTAACATTTGCATACATATGGTACCTCTTTCTTCAACCCTCTCTCCCATACCTCCTTCCTATATGCTCTTAGCCTTTCCCCAATGCCCTTTGCCATATTTTAGAACAAAATATGGGCCCTACAAAAAATGGTATCTTCAGGACCCTCTTTCCCTAACATCCACAAGAGTACAATTAGTAGTAATGGAGTTGTTCCGGCTGTTGCTAGTTACCATGGAGTGGATTCCAACTCAAGGCAACTCCATGTGTGTAGAGTAGAACTGTTCTGTTTTTCAAGGCTTTGGCCTTCTCCTAAGATAACTCTGGGAGGGTTCAAACTACCAAAACTTTAGCTAGTATAGAGCACTTATCTCTATGTATTCCCCAAGCAGACTTGGCTATGGAGTACTCATAGTTTGCATGCCCTAAAATGTCCTGAGTACTAGCTGATAAATCTGGCTAATCCATTTGCATAGAGTTTACATTTCCAATAGCCATATTCTGGATCAATTGCTCTCAATCTCCTTTAAACATCTGCTTTTCATACCTAAGGCTACTCTTCCCACCTTCCTCAGCAACAAACAATTTAACACATGTCTAATGCAAAGCCTAATTAATTTCTGGAAGAGCCTCTGGTTATAAATAACTTGAAATGTTGTTTAACTTGCCTCTAAATTTTCAACACAGATAAACACAAATTTTAAACCCCAAAAGAATCAGAGAGGAGTATTCGCGGGAAAGGAATAAACTGCTACAAAGAGTGAAAAGTATTATATTCAAGGGATATGTCAGCCTTGGAATCGAGATTAGCCAAGCTCCTGGAATACAGGTACACCTATGACACAATATAGGTAACAGGTCAGCTGTTTTCTCTCATTAAGGCTAAGGAGGCAATTATACTTCCCTGTACCTGGGCAGAGTCTGACTTTTCCTCAAACCTCAAACAAAGAGTGTTCACTCTAAGTATATAAGATACGCTATGGGCACAGTATACTCTAAGCACCTCCAAAAATATGAGCTGAAAAAAAAAAAATGAGCTAGATGTTTAATTTCACAGTTCTCTATACACTGTGAAATAAATAATGTGCAGTTCTAATTATGAAGATGTTTTTACTGACTCAATGTGAGTAGGATATAAGAATATGCTTGGGGGAGCTTTTAGGTAATATGCTGATGGTATCTCTGTCATATAAGGGTTCTGGGTGGCACAATGGTTTACACTTGGTGCTAACCAATGGGCTGGAAGTTCAAATTCACCAAGCAATAACATGGAAGTTAAGTTCTGAGGATCAGCTTTCATAAGATAAGACCATTGGAAGCCTGAATGACGGTAGTTCTACTCTGACACACACAGGGTCACCATGAGTTGGAATCAACTCTAAGGCAACAGGTTCAGATATATATATATATATATTTGCTTTTGTTTATCCTTATCTTTCAAAGTGTGCTATTAAGATTACCTTACCAAGTTCTTTTTAATCATCTGCCATGTGAGTGAGCTGGGGTCAGGAGACAGGAACATTTCTCTTCTGGGATGCTATCTGGCTTCCATAGAGATAAAAGGTCATTTAGTTTGCATGCCCTAAAATGTCCTGAGTACTAGCTGATAAATCTGGCTAATCCATTTGCATAGAGTTTACATTCTATAGCCATCCTGTATCCCTCCCCAATAACCTTTAGTAGTGGTGGTGGTGGTTGCCTGCTATCAAGACAGTTCAAATTCATAATGACCTTGTATAGGGTTTCAGAGGCTGTACTTCTGCAGAAAGCCTCACCTTTCTTGGGAGGAGTGGCTGGTAGATTTGAAGTCCTGATCTTATGGTTAGCAGCCTGGCTCATAACCCATTGTGCTACTAGTGCTCCTCATTGTCCCTTATGTCCTTAGATCATTCTAACTCCCTAGAGAATATCATTCTTCAGATATGCGAGCTGGTAGAAATGTGGACACCATACATTTCTTTCCATCCTGTATCCATATGCTGAAACTCACACCAAGAGGCAAAGTTATTTAAAAATCGATGGGGCATACTGGTCAGAAAGAGACTGGAAGAACCTGAGTGTATGGCCCTCAACCACACTTCAGTTCTGAAAATGAATGTACCTTCATGGACCAATTTTCAGCCAAGCGATAGACAGGTATAGAGCAGGGACAATAATACTAGTAAGAGATGCTCACCATGGAATAAGCAATCATTCAAAATTAAAAGGGCAACATTTTCCTAAGGACAAAGTTGAGACGTTTTGGGAAGGCAGATGGAATGGAAATAGGAAGCACAGGGAGGAAGTGGGATAACAGTTGTCACATGGAGGGGATTGTAAACATTGAGATGAAACAAAGTATATGATTTGTTGAATGTAAAACTGGTGACCTTGTCTGCAAACCTTCACTCAATTCATAATAAAAGTTTTGTTTTTTTGTTTTTTTTTAAAAAAAGGCAAAGCCTAACTCCCTTCCCCTTGAGTCTGGGCTGGGCTTTGACCATTAGATGGTGGCAGAGTGGTGCTCTGGGACTCTGAAGCTAGGCCATATAGAAGCCTTACGGTTCTTACCTAGCTGTCTTGAATACTCATTTTGGGGACATCACTTGTGTAAGTGCTCTGGTCACAGTCCAGCTGAGTTCTTAGCTCACAATCAGCCTCAACCACCCATCATGCAAGGGACACATCTTAGTTGTCCAGGCCAATCGAGTCTTCAGATGACTAAAGCCTCAGCTGACATTAAACTGTAACCTCTTGAGAAACTCCAGTGAAAACCAACCAATTGAGTCAAACAACCCAAAGAATGCTGAGAGACAATAATAAATGCTTTAACCACTATGTTTAGGAGTAGTTTGTTTATACACCAGTAGAAAACCCAAACAGAGAATTATGGAAATACAGGTTGAAAGACCCATGAGAAATTATTCAAGAGTTTGCCTAATAGTCTAGCAGAAAATAATAAATCTCAGCTCTAAGCTAATATCCCCTCATCCTTCCTTAAAAGAATGAGACAAGAAAGACCAACAGAGGGCTCTATCATGGACAAATTTCCTGGGTAAGCATTTTAAATACAGTGATAAAATGTAGAATTTACAAAACCTGCAGTCTCCTATTGAGATGAAATGTGATCTAAG